GTACCTAGAAGTAAAAAAACTTCTTAATCCAAACCAATACGGTTTCCGACACTACCGTTCAACCATAAACGTTCTAACGAACTTAGAAACAAATATCTGCGACACCTTCCTCAACGAAGAATATATACGCCGTATGCCTCGATTGAAAAAGCCTTCGACACAATCTCGAGAACCAAAATTATTAATTTCCTCATCGATTTAAAAGTAAATGGCAATATGCTATCTTCCATAACCAACTTTCTATCCAATAAATCAATCCAAGTCGGAGCAAATGGATCTCTGTCACATCCAGTTATAAAAAACGGAGTCCCACAAGGATCAGTAATTAGCACCACACTATTTTTAATAGGAATTAATGACATCACCATCAACCTCAAGCAATAAAAACCCAGCTATTTGCGAATGACATAACAATCACATGTAGCGGGAAAAATATAAGCTCCATCAACGAATATTTACAAACAGCCATCAATACCCTTTAGGACTGGTCAAAAACAACAGGCTTAAAATTTTCTCCCAAGGCATCCTATTCACTAGAAAAACCAAATTCAATTCCCCACCTAAATTATATCTCAGTAATCTTGAAATAAAGTTCACTGACACCATCAAAATATTAGGCCTTATTTTCGATAAAAAATTATCTTGGGAGCCATACCTAAAAACCTTAAAAGAGACTATAAAAAGACTTAACATTATAAAAACTCTTTTCAATAATAACTGGGGAGCGGATAAAGACACTCTTCTAGAAACATACAGAGTGTTAATTAGATCCAAACTAGATTACGACTCTATCGTTTATAACTCAGCCAAAAGCTCCACAAAAAAAAAAATAATAGATTCAATCTCGCACTCAGCTCTTAGATTAACCACAGGTGCATACCGAACATGCCCCATAAACAACTCACTATTCGAAGCCAAAGAAATGGCACTTGAATCCAGAAGGAAGTTCCTAACTCTTGAATACGCATTAAAAGTCTCATCTACTCCAAATAATCCTTCCTACAACAATGTCTTCTCCAATAGATACAAAGCTTTCTACATCAATAAACCCAAAATTCCCTCCCCTTTCATATCAGACTTAGCAAAATCGACCCCACACTTTCAAAATCCACCCCACCATTGAACCACCACAAATCCCTCCATGGACAATAAAAGCACTCCCAACAAACACCAGTCTTGCCGAACTCCCCAAAAAAATCCTTAGTCCAACTGACCACAGGACTCGATTCCTAGAACTAAATAACTACTCCCAACACAGCAAGATTTACACTGATGGATCAAAAACGGACACTAGAGCTGGATACGTCATTATCACAGAAAAAGCCAAAAAAACTCAAAATCTTCCTTCATCATCTATCTTCACAGCCAGAATTTATGCCATCCTGGAAGCCATTAAATATGCACACTCAAATAACGAAGCCCAAATCGTTATATACACCAACTCCATGAGCGTTACAAAATCCCTAACGAAATCATATGATCAAGAAAACCAACTAATATCCACCATCCAAGAACTAAACCACAACCAACCTAACACAGATGCCACAGTCATCTGGATTCAAGCTCATCAAGGAATAGAAGGAAATGAAAAAGCCGACACAGCAGCAAAAGAAGCCACAGTTTCCTCACTACTAATAATCGCAACCATCTTCCAATCTCCTGCGACGACCAAATAATCCACTACAAAAAAGTAGCAAAAAAATGAATGGAACAATGCATGGGAAACAACTAAAAGCATCCAACTACACAAAAGTATCCAAGACTTTCACCAGCAAACACCAAATCTTACCAACAGGAAAGAAGGAATAATTATCTCACGCCTAAAAATCGATCATACTAAGCTGACACATGAACACAAAATCAAAAAAACTACACCATCCACCTGCACTCATTGCAATAACCTTCCACTAACAATAACCCACATACAGCACGAATGCCACACCACAGAAATCCAAAGACAAAAATACGGAATCAACGCAAACATAAACCTGACTTCTCAAAATGACATACAAAGACTATTAAAATATCTCAAAAACATAAACTACTACACACATATCTAATGGCACCGTTGTCGCTAATGACCTTGCTGTCGATACGACATTAAAGAAAAATAGAAGAAGAAGAAGAAGAAGAAAGCCTGAAGAATATCCAGGTAAAACAAAGGTACATACTGATGGATCTTTGTTTCAGACAAACAAATGTTCCCTAATTGCGAGCCTAAGAAAAGTAGAAGGATTAATATATTTCTTACAATGAGAATAATATCAGAGGAATATCTCAAGTGTATTCTTACATACTAAAATTGTATGTAAAATTCCTACCTTATATCAGGAAATAAAAATTAGGGATGATAGAATTCAGTGGAGTCAAGCTATCAACGATGAAATAAGTTCCTTTTTGATTAGTAATACCTGAATTTTAATACTAAAGAGAACAAAAATATTGTAATTATAAATGGGTATTTGCTATTGAAAATGGTGAATTTGAAAACCCACTAAAGTACAAAGCTTGCTTTGTTGCAGAAAATTTCAGTCAGCAATATCTTACAGAATATAATACAACAGTTGCAAGAATTTCAAGTTTTAGATTTATAATAAGTTTTGCAAATCAGTTTTAGATTTATAATAAGTTTGCAAATCAGTTTAACTTATTACTTTATCATATGGATGTAAAGCTGCTTTTTTAAAATGGTAAATTAAAAAAGGAAATTTATATGAAGGTTCTTGAGGGAATTATAAGTGAAAGTATTCAAGTCCATAAGCTAAATGAAGCTTTATATGGATTAAAACAAGATGCTGGTTTGAAATATTTGAATTTAAAGATTTAAAGGAAATGATTTCCAAATGTTGTTCCAGTTGTATTTATATTCCAAATAAAGACATTTCTAAAAATATTTATGTAATACCGTATGAGTAGCATACAATCAGCACGCAACCATCATATAATCGACAAATCATATAATCAATTCTTGCTGAGAATCTCATTGCATTAATTTTCAAACATAAATTAACAAACTTATTTTATTAAAAAATTTATAAGTCAATATAAGCAAATACAACTCGATACGATGACAGATTAGTACTAGTGTCATAATTTCCTATACTCGAATTTCAGAATATGCTGTACGCGGAAACGTTTTGACGTTTTTTGGTTGTTTATGTCGCTGATCTATTCTAAAAATGTATATATTTAAATACATATTACTGGAAATCAGGTGGGACGTCTTATATTTTTGTTCAACAGTGTAATATTTGAAGTTTAACTTCTTGCCTATCGTATAAATATATTATTCTTGAAATCATCACTGTTTCGCATATTTCTTGATCATGCTTAAACAATATAAAAATACACTCGCTGAAAAATTTTAATTGTTATAATTTCGTGAACAAAATTCTACAGCAATCTATTTTCTTTCATTGCTTTAATTCCAAACGTTGTTAGGAATCACGCTAAGAGTCGTCTTAAGATTTAGTCAAAGACCAAAGTATAAATCAGAAAAATATATATAAGCGCGATGAAAAGGGATTTCAGGCAATATTACATTTTTACGTCAAGAAGTTATGGAAAGTCGAGTGGAAAGTTACTTTCTAGCAAAAGTTCTCTGAAATTATCTCTGAAAGTATAAGTTTTTAATTATACCTCTACAACATAATAATAACTCTCTGAAGTGAAATTTTTATTTTGACAAGCAACGGAGAAAGTAAAGATATTTTTATTCTTGAAAATTGTAAAAATTCAAATTTTCTATCATCATCAGAAAAATTTGTTCATGATTAGATCCATTATCATTTCAAAAATTGAAGTATTTATAATGACTTCCTAAAACTTACTGTATAATTCTTTTTCGCCATTTTATTAAAGTTTGAATATTGAACGACAAACAAAAATTCAAGAAATCCTAACAGTTCGTTGTCTAATCATAATATTTGAACTTCAGTAAAATGACGAGAAAAATTGTATAGTACGTTAAGAAATCGTAAAAGATTAAACGCTCAAGAAGCTAACAAAATTTTTGTTGAATTATGTAATAAATTTCAAACAATTTTGAAATTTACAAAATGGAAAAAATTTCCTCTTTGGGTAAGATACTGTTGTTTCCCAATATTTTAATACATATTTTACGTTATTCTGTTTGTTTTGATATGCTGAATACGAATATTATATCCGTTTTTAGCAAAAATTACATATTTCCGAGATATTCAAAACAAAAATCCTCAGAATGATTTTTTACATGTTCGTACCGCAATATATTTATACATTTCACGTATCAAATTTTAAACATAAAGAGATAAGGATAAGTATTAGTTGACTTTCGCCGGCTATGAATTTATTTAATCTAAACCAATATCGATACTTTGCTAATGCTACTAACTTCCAAGAAAAACTTTTTGGCGTTCTCAGAATCATTATTAAACTCGAAACATCCTATAAATAAAAAACAAACACGTTTCGGGAAAATTCATTCCTGTAACAATATCTAAAGCGACAAGTCTTTAAATCAAAGAATGTATCAAAAAAATATTTATGAAATATTTGATCGAATATCGTGAATGCAAAAGATTCAACGAAGACTCATTTGAAGACTTCATAAAATATATCCAATTGGCTTTTCTATTTTGATAATTTTTTACAATTTTAATAAGTTTTTATGATTTTTGCTAAAAATGGATATGATATTCGTAACACGTTAAAACAAGTAGAATGATACATTACTGAAAGCTTGGAGGGATAACGAAGGGATAATTAGCTCCCCTTTATTTAATTTCAATAGCTACTTTCATTTTTGAGATACAGTCGAAAGTTCATTACTTTTCAGCTAACCCTCATAGAAATAAGAACATTAATATAATCCATATATATAATTCCTATACATTGATGTAATTCATGTTTGAATATATATATTCATTTATATATTTGAATTGATATAATTTGTATTCGTTTAAACATTAATGAATTAAAATGTTTATGAAAATTACATATATACAATGAATAAAAAATACCTTTGGCTCAGCTTCCTCGTTGGACTTTGTTTCCTTCGCAGTTGGTACAGAAAAGGATCGCTGCGTTTTAAATAAAATTCGTCCGGTCTTGTTATTGACGAATACATCGTCATTTTTGGTTAAATTGCAATGGAGCATGATATGTATAAGTGATAAGTTGCATTGTGTTTTACATAATCCAGGCAGAGATAAGGTAGACATAGGCAGATGCGAACATAGACATTAAAAGAATAAACACAGGTTCATACAAGAATATAAAACAACAAATAATATTACTTAATGTAAAATCGAATTTTAAACTTTTAAAGTACGTTAAAAAATATTAAAAATCTTAACGCCTATAATTCATATCATAATTTGAATATTTTTATTTATTAAGTAATTTTAATAATCTTATTGTCTTTTTTCTTCAGAATGATTCATAATGAACTTAAATTATAAATTTTTGAAAAATTAAGTCTATTTCTAATTACTATATCCACTTATTCTTTTTATTTTCAAATATCAGTAGATCAAAATTAGAGGATCTAATGTAAACAAAAAATTATATCATAATGAATAAATAACATTACTATAGCAAATTAATGCAAACAATATTGTACAATCTTGCAAAAAATTAATTATAAGTACATAAATATACATAGATCAAATGATACATATATACTGACGTAAGAAACTATTCATACACCTAATGAAAAATTCTCGATATTTCAAATTATTTATTATAACTTTGCGAAAATAATCATATAACAATTCTCAATTCGCCCTTATTTTAATCCGCTACTGAGGTACTTTATTAAGTACTCTACTTTTAAAAAAAAATCTTGTTCGTTTTTTTTCAAAAATGTTTTTACATCATGCAATGAGTAGGAAAGTAATTGTTTTTATGATTGGATACATGATCTTGAAAATTAAAATCTGTCTTTTTACAACGATTCTTTAAAAGTTGTATGATTTCTTTTTGGCTATTTTATTGAACTTTGAACTATTAGGATTAAACAACAAAATTTGATATCTTGGTCAAGAAATCTTGACATTTTATTGTCTGTAATGGCGATAATAAATTTTAAAAAGTCGTTATAAAAGACTTCTGTTTTCAAAATCATGGAGGATCATAAAAAAATTTTTCAATGGTTGTAATTTCCAAAAATAAATATCCTTATTTTTCCATCTGTTACATGATATAAAAATATTTTTAAGAAAGACGAACTGAAGGTTATAAAAGTAGAAACTTCATGCTTTAAATTAGGCCAAGTGCAAGATTTTTTTTTCACACTCTCAGATAATTTTTCATTAAGTGTATGAATATTTTTTCAAATGCTAGTGTATATGTTTATGTATCTACGTACATACATACTTTTAAAAACTACAAAATGTAATTATTTGCAAAATATAAAAGCAATAAAAAAAATTACGAAAAAGTTAGTTTTTTTTGCATGTCATTTTCATTATCCTGAATAAATTTTGAAGATAAAATATTTTTATATGTAATTAACAAATAAAACATACCTGATGAGTTGAATATTGTTTCTGTTGTTTAGCTTGAGTGAGTGCAGACTGATCAAGAAGATCCCACGATTTTTGTCGGCGATTAGTAGGATTACTTGATGTTGCATTAGACGTATCCTGTATCATAACATAATTGTTAAATATCATATTTGTTAAATATTTGTTAAATATTGTATAATTTACTAATACTTTTAGATTACATATTTTAAGTTAAAATAATGACAAGAATAAAAAAATACATAAATTACTGTATTATATTTAATTGTACAAATTGTACAATTAAATCAATTAATTGCAAATAATTTTTTTAATGACATAAATTTTTATATTTTTAAATAAGTTCTTTTAAAAGAACTTTTAAAAGAAAAATTAAAAATATTTCTATTTTACAAAATTTTTCTCAACGCAAAAAATATCGATACGATATTCATTTATGGTAAAAGTGACCAGTGTTTGAGAATGTAGCAGTTCGAGTGTACAACATTTCCTAATCATACCAACTATGTATTTTATTTTTTTATTGCATCGTGTAATTAGTAAAAAAATACATTTAGATATATAAAACACATGACTTTGAAATGACATTGATGTCCAAAAATTTAAGTTTTTCTTTTGAAGAATGATTGATCACTTTTACGTTGCTGGAAATCCCATTGAGAAAAATGTATACAATTTACAAAATCTCTACCGTGAAGATCTTGATGTAGAAATAAATGATACAGATGAAATTTTTCTTCCATAATATCCGTATTATGTTGGTTTCAAAAATACCATTCTTGCGCTGGAGTTGTCTTAGACTCACATGTGGATATTCGTTAACTTTAGCTGCAATATTTCCTTTATTTCTTTCGTTATTAACAGTTTTAGTCCTCACATATTTCTTCACGGTACTGCCAGTTTGAAAATTTTTAACTACTTTTGAGTATGTATTTCGTGATGAATAATTACGATTAGGAAATGTATTTTTGTACACTCAAACTACTTCTCTCAAACACTGATCACTCTTCATCATCATAAATGAATATCATACCGATCTTTTCTTGCGAGTATTCCATTATGAATTACTGATAAATTTCAATATGCTTTCAAATTATTAGCAGAGATTATCATTGATGATGTAACACATAGTAAACATGTTTATTTACATTTATTAAAAACCCTCAATTGTCATGTCTTGGCTAAGATTTCAATGGAACTAAATTTATACGTGAAAATCAAATTTTCAAGATCATGTTCTTTACATGTCTAAACGTGTTTTTTTACCAATTATATGATACAATAAAAAAAATTATTAAACAAAAAACTGACCTTGAAAAAAATTATTTTCACCAGTTATTGACCTTTGGATACTATTCATCTCAAGCAATATTTTTTGCATCATTATTTGAAAAGATATTTAGATGACTTCACTTAAATAGACCATCTTGTAGTACGAACTGTCGGTAGATTTGTGCCCCACGATTTTGTGTTTCAAAATTTATTGTTTCAAATTATTTGTATAAGTGTAACGACTTCTTCGAAAACTATTTATATATGCATCAGCAAAAAATAAAACTTTAAAAAAGCATGAATAGTAGAGGTTTATTTTTGAAAAATAAATTTTTTTTTTTAATTTTTCTTCAGCACAATATAGAACGATAAAATAAGTTATAGAAACCACCATAAAAAAACAATAAAAGTTTTAATTTAACATTTTTTTCATTTTAATTTAAGTTTTAATTTTTTTTTCACACAGTTTTGCCGATATTTACGATAATATGAAAAAAATTCGACTCGGACTGTTTTTAGAAGAAAAGAAATTATTTCGTTCTTAATATCTAGTAAATTATATTTGTGCAAAATTTCAAATTTTTTTAAATTTTTGAATTGCAAAACTTTGTTAATATCAACATACAAGATATTCACGAATTGTGAACAATCAAAGATTCTGCAAAAAAAAAAAAAAAAAAATAAGTCGAAAAAAATAAAATTTTTTATTAGAAGTCAATTTCAGTTAGTCTCAAATGCGATAAAGTCTTTCGCACTATAGGGATCACCATATTATAACTATAATAGAGTACAAGCACGCAGAGTTGAGATCGAGCTCAAAATGAATCGAAACGTGATAAGTCAAAATAACAAAAAAATGAATTCAGTTGATTTGCGCTTATATGAGATTGATGTAGGATTCAGTACAGATTCAATCCTGCATGTAATCGTGGTAATAAAGTGAAATAGAATCTCTATAGCGTTATAGACACGTGCAGACACGAGCCAAAGAATTATAAATATTAACAAAATTAACAAATAATTAACTAAGGCAAACAAATAATATATTATTCAAATAGGTTTCAATTAAAAAGCATTCTTATATTAAAATATATAAGATTTTTAAATGCATTGATTGATTGATAAAATATTCGATTTTTAAATGCATATCCATACTTTGGGCAATGAATCTTCATAATAAAATAAAGAACAAATGTCATACGAATCTACAATAAACTACGTACTTTAATTTAATTACAGATAATTAAAAAAAAAGTTCAATGTGTTCATATGCCTATCACATATTGTAGTAGACCTAGACTTATAATGTTTACAAAAAATATGCATTGATATGAGTTAAATAAAACTTAATCCATTAAGTTCTTATTTTTTATGCAATTAAAATCTATTGTGTATTCAATTAAAGCAAATAATGTGTACGATTTATAAGAATTTAAAATGAATGTGAAACTATTTGAGAAATACTTAATATTTTCAATGTGGAATTCAATGCTAAGACATGCAGTAGTATTACGTATCATATTGAACACTTTTTTCAATTATCTACACTTAGGATATGTAGAAGATATATGTATTTATTTTATATTGTTATTAATATATAAATTCATTATTCAAAATATAAATATACATTTAAGAATCAACTTATGTATATGTTATAGTTATCCAAGAAAGAACGTCCAAAAACCAGAAAAATAATATTATAATTTGTATGATATTCTATTTAAAATACAATAATATTCAACTGACGAAAACTCGTTACTACTATATATTAATTCCATCATCTCGATTCTCAATATTTTAAATACAACTTAACATGTTGAAACATATATTATTGTATGAAATAGTAGAAGACCTTATATATCAACCAGAACAGTTATTTACAGGAATTAACATTTCAATGTTAATTGAGATAAGCTGCCTCCGATGCTGATATACCAACACCAATTTATACACATCGTAAACTGCATGAAACATACGTGATGCACACATTATAATATATTTCAGCGCGTACAATGAACACTTATTCTTTCTATAAAAATAATACTAATGAATTAAACAAGAGAAAGAGAGAAAAAATAGAAATATAATAAAATGTGAAACTTAATTTAATTGTAGGAAGAGAAAATAGTAAGCATTGAAATCAAACGGACAAAATCATTTTTTATAAACCATCGACTGGTAGTATGCTCGAAGACTATATACATAGATTTTGAAAAATCTTAATTGATATAATATTAATTGTATACCTATTTAATATTAATTGTGTGTGTGTGTGCGCGCGCGCGCGCGCGTGTAGGAAAAAGTGAAATAGCTATATAATATTAATTATATATGCAGTTACGAACAAAATTAAGTAGACAAGTAATGGAAATAGATATAAATTAAATTTAGTCAAAGTAGTACTATTATTATGTACTTAAGTTTTATATATTATATATCTTTATGTTACATAGATTATTTAGTGAATAATTGAAATTAATATTTACATTTGTATTGAAATAAAACATACTTAAAGAAAAACTTAGCTGATTTTCGAGGGACAAAAATAAGTGGACATATAATAAAATATATAAGAAATATAAAATTAATATTTAGTATGTCCACCCTTTGCTTTAATAATTGCTTCTAAACGTCGTGGGATGCTATTTATCAAATTTTCAATGTAATTTTTATCGATATTTTCAAATGCTAATTGCAAATTCTTAAAACAATCGTTTTTGTTCTTTCGTTTTTCTAATGGCACTTTTGAGTCCATACACTCCATAAATTTTCTATTGGATTCAAGTCCGGACTTTATGCTGACCATTCCAACAATTTAGTATTTGAATCCTCAAAAAATTTATTGGTCTTTTTAGCAGTGTGTTTCGGGTCGTTGTCCTGCTGCAAAATAAATTCTTTTTCGAGGCCCATTTTTAGAAGAGCCTCTTCTAAATTTTCGTTTATTATTTCAATGTATTTGTCAGCATTCATTATTCCTTCAATTTGTATAAAACTACCAACTCCATTCCATGAAAAACACCCCCATTAATGATCCTTCTCCAAATTTGACAGTTGGCGTAATGAACGACTTTTGTATGTTTCATATTTTTTTCTCCACACATAATCCTTTTTTTTCAATTGTTGCAATTCAAATTTGCTTTCGTCACTCCACATTATTTTTCTCCAGAATGATATTGGCATATTTTTTAACAAAGGTTAAACGTTTCTTCATATTTGATTAATGTATGGCTTACATTTGGCTTTGCAGTATCTTAATCCCAAATCCTGCAAACTACGTCGTACTGTTTTTGATGATACATTTAATTCTAATGTTTCTACAATATTTCGCGATTCTTGGATTTTGTCGACATTTACGAATAATTCGACGATTTTCCTTCGCGGTGGTACAACGTCCGCGACCACTTAAATTTTCAACGGTTTTGTGTACTAAATATTTTTTTATTTTCTACCGCACCTTTTGGAAACATCGAACTTTTTTACTATCACACGGTAACTTAATTGATTGCAGCAGTCCAATATAATCAAACGAATTTGATTTGAAATTTTTTTTCTTGCTGACATTTTGCTATTTCCTTACAAATAATCTGTCCTGTAAAAAGCCTAGAAAACAACTAAACAGTTAATTTGATACCACAGCGTAAGAATGGGAGCAACACTTCACATTTGTTCACATTGTTTGCCTTGGAATAACGAAACACACAAATGTCCACTTATTTTTGTCCTATTTCAACACCAATGTAAATATTAATTTCAATCATTCGCTAAATAAACTATGTATCATAAAGATATATAATATATAAAACTTAAGTACGTAATAATAGTACCACTTTCACTGAATTTAATTCATATCTATTTCCATTACCTGTCCACTCAATTTTGTCCGTAACTGTATATAGGAAAAAGTGAAATGAGACAGACTACTTAATTTTAGATTGTTGCAACAAATAATTAGAAGCCAAAAAAATAAAGATTTCGGTGGAAGTCTTAAATATAGAGGCCCTGGACTACAAGAAAATAAAATATTTTATTAAAAAAAATACTTGGCTATAAAGGAAAATATTTTCCAGAAATATTGAAATATTCGCTTCATCCAAGTGTTGGAGAAGATTCGTTTAAAATCATGTAAGAATATAAAATTTTTTATTTTTATTATTAACTACTAACTAAAGAAACTATAAATATATGTTATTCTTTGAACAAAAATTTTTACATAAGTAACATCTACATTAAATAATTATGTTATTTATTACAATTTAAATTAACAGTTTGAAAAATCGCTGAGAAACTAGACTAAAAAATTATTTTTCTGAGAAACTAGAATAGTAACTAAAATTTTATTTCAGAATTTAATAATTATAAGAAAGAATAAATACATATGTACTGACAATAAGAGACCCCATATTTCGTTTTATCCCACGCTAGCGTTCTACTACATACGAAGTAATTTTTTAAACATTTAAAATTTATACTTCAGCGTGAAATAAGGAATGGGATCAAAAAACACAAATACAATTTAAGGAACGTAAAATTCAATGTTGCACTTAGCATTTAAAATTTTTAAATTACAATATAAAAAAAATAAAAAAAACCTTTAAAAAATCCTTAAAAAATTTCAATAGCGAAAATTTTTCCAACATTCCAAATCAAAAACGTGTGTATAAGTTTGTGGACATAGAATGTCATAAGGAATATTTATGTAGTCCTATGTCAGCCTATTTATGTAGTTCTATGGTAGCTACTTACTGCATTTAAGAAAAACATTGGTGTTCCGTTTTACCCAATCATGTACGTGACTCATTTTAATCTATAAATGCAATTATCTCTGAAACTATTCGTCACTTAAAAATGTTTCAAATGTATTTTTTTTCTGTTTTGAGAGAGCAGTAATTTGGTACTTAGTTTGTCCCTAGGTAGACACGTATAAGAGATATGAAGATCATACATATTTTTTCAAGTATAATTATGTAATTTCTTTTTGCATCAATCGATGCAGCAGGTGGTTCTCTAAAAAAAAGTATTAATCTCTAGAACCCATTAATTTAGGAGATATTTTGATATTTCAGTAGTCATTTTCGGAATATTGTTCTCGCGACTAATCTGTTATACACTTGTATGTACAGTACTTGTTACAGCTTGTTGAACATTGAAAGATATTTTTTCTTTTGGATCTGTTTTATATCTGTACGTTTTAAGTAACCTCGTCTAACTCGCAACACCAATGATTTTAATATTACAGATGTTGGATGCCTTCTTTCTAAAAGTATTTTTTCCAACATAAGCAATATCCGAGATAACTTATGATCGAATAACTTATGAAGAAAAATATTACATTCGCAAAATTGAAATCAAAATATCTACTAAACTAATGGAATTTAGACGTATTTGAAAAAATAGTAGACGTATTTGAAGAAATAGTAGACGTATTTGAAGAAATAGTAGACCTTCATATTTCCTACACACGTCTATTTAGAAACAAATACCAAATTACTGCTCTCTCAAAAAGATGCATAGATATTTTTTAAATAACGAATAGTTTCGCAGATAATTGCATTTATAGATTAAAATCCCATTAATGGCTCCGTATGAGCCATTTATTTTGAAAGTGAGGTCACTTTACAATAATGAAAAATAGCGACTCGTTAATGTCTATACGAAATTATTTATACTGATTGTTAGAAAATATCAAGTAGTTTACTTTCTAATGCTTTTGCATTTACTTTTACAGGACTATTGCAACTATTACTGTACATATTTTATTAATTTTTCTGAAAATAAAACCCAACCAAAATATTTCAAACATTAAAATATTGGGTCATATCACATAAAATGGTTGGATTTGTGTTTGGGTTGTGTTTATTTAAGCGTGATTTGTTTGGTTGTTATTCTTTAAATAAAGACTATTTAGTATCTTTATTGTATATTTTGCATTCAGAAAATGTGTTTTTTAATGAATTCCAAATCTTATTTTTTTCTAAACAAGTTTTTTTCAATATGTTCATTACTTTGCAAATTCGGGTTGTAATGCATCCCTCATCCTCTCTATTCCCCAGATCTTTTCAACAGAGTTCTATTTTGCATTAAAAAATGTTCAGAGACAGTTTCTGTAATTCAAACCTCCGAAGAATTTATCGCCCTAAAAATCAAGATTTCTTTGAAAAAGTAATAATATTCATTAGAATCCTATTGAAAGAATGTTATGATGCTTATTTTGATTAGTCGAAAATAATTCTCAAATATATACAACATAAACTTTTTATATAAAAATCCGACATTTCATATGACACGACTTAACATATTATGAATTTATCAATATCAACTTTGAACTTGAACGTTCGCAATAAGACATTATTAAAAGATGATATTGTTTGCTACTTTTTAAATACGCACTGATACTTTTTATTAGATATCTCAGCAAATTAAATTTTTTTTTTTTCATACCAACATCACTTGAGAGAAAGAATATGAAACTGATTATATCCTATCAATAAAAATAATAAAAAAATATTATATAAACATAAATTTATAAATATTTTAATAAGAAATTATTTAATAAAACAAATAATAGCTAGTCTTTTATTCGATATATATAAAAACAATTTCATAATATTCAATAGATATTACACAGAATAACATTTATGAAGAATTATATTTAATACATTATAAATTTCTTTATATTACGAATTCTTTAGATTAATTTGTGTTAATATCTGTTAAAAACTTTCTTCAAAATTTTCTATAAAAAATTAAGGATCAACGAATCAGATCTGTTCTGTCTAATGTGGAAATTAATTTTGGAGAATCCTAAATATGAAATATTTATTAGTTTTTGAAATATTAATAAAAAAAACTTGATATAATGAATTCTGTATCTTTCTCTATACAAATATTAATATAGAGTGAGCCAAAAATCACTTCCTACTAAAATAAATCCGTAATTCTTTTATTATATATTTATTTCAACACTTGAAAAAAACAAAATAAAACATAATTTTAAAACATAATAAAAAAATTGTGTCTGAACTTAAATTTAATTTAAAATTAATAAAACTTATCATGTTGATAAATATGATACATATATGTACGTACATATTAAACGATCTATAAACATATTTTTTTAAAAACGGTATTGGTTTAGTCTAGATAAATTACATTATCGTCAGATAGACAACAAAACATAAATGGATCATGTAAAATAAATTTAAGGAATAAAAAGCGAAGTATTGTCACATGTTATAAATTTTCTGTCTTTCATTCTATTACTTGGATTTAAATATTAATAAAAATAATTCCAATTAATTCACAATTGGAAATATTACAACATTGCAATATCTTTAACATTCGAAAATGAAATATATAGCTATATAATATTGTTCATTGTATGTTTTGCATAAAATATTTTACAACGTAATATTTTTCATGCGATACTTCCAATCTAGATCATAATGTCTTGTAACATAATATCGCTCATTCAATAAGCAAAATATGTATCACGTATTAAATTATTTCACGTGCCAGAAAAACAAAAGTTTATAAAAAAAGGGAATTTCATTTAACATTGCTAATCCCATTGATATTAACAAGTAATCCAAATTGATATAATTTGCTAGACAGGATATCTCGGATTTTAATGAAAAAACATGTGAAAACGTGTCACATGAATATTATGTTGTAATATATCTCATCTAAAATACCTTCTATTTAGAATATGATTAAACATTATAAAAATAACTTACTGTATTGTATGGAAGCAAAATATCAAGGCAATCTGTGCTCCCAGATTCTGCATTTCTGGTAACGGCATGTCTAATATGGCATCGACTTCGCACTTCCTCGGATACAGATACTAACGCTAATTAAACATAAATATATAATTAATAATTTCAATTCATAAATAAAAAAATATATCATCTTACCAGACAAGTATGCCACACTTTCTGGCGTGACTTCAAATTTGTCCCTTCTAAATGGTTTAGCAACAATGCCTAATAGCATAGACAGTACTCTAGCTGTTCTTGTGACAGTTGTAGGAGTAGGATGTCTATATCCTTTTAATAGATGACCAACCAAAGCAAAATGAAAGTTTGATTTAAATGAAAGTCCCACAGCATTATCTAATTGTTTAAAATGCCATTCTAAAAGTTCACGTGTTAACATCATAACATGCTCCAAAGTCTAAAATATATATAAATGAACAAATTACAATAGTGATAAACACATAATATAATTATTTAATACAAATTGTTTACTTTATCATCAAATGTTCCTTGAGAATCCAAAGTATGTAAATTTTGCTCAAGAAGTGCTAAACCACATGCATATAAAGAAGCCTCGTCTAATTGAAGAATTGATGTTGCGACCCAAAATAAGTATCGATGTATAGGAGATTCCTTAAAAATATTGAAATTATTAATATAAATATTAATTTTAATATAATTATATGATTCATTATTATGAAGTTATCAAATTATATTGATATTTACAAATTTAGCAAATTTTTGAATTCTATAATAAATTAATATTTTAATCTCTATAAATATTAAAGATAGTTTGTATTAACATGAAGTTCTTTGAAATATATTACTAAATAACAAAATATAACTTACGGGTCTAAGCAATGGTTGTAACCGAGTAAGACACATAATGATTGCTTCCAACAAAGTAATGTCGTTAAAACTCTCAAGCGCTTTCACTAATATTCTTAGTAATTGTTTCATATCCTGATCAGTTATGCTTTTACTAATACACCCGAAAACAATTAAAGCTCTAGGTTGAAGAGCGGGATTAAAGCAGAATGCAAAATTTCTTGCTAAAGAAGTCCAAGTTTGTAACCAATCACACTGTGGAATATCCCGCATACAAGCTTCCATAATTTCAAGAAGAGCATCCGTAATAATTTCTAAACTGGTTAACGAAAGTCTTTCTTTATCATGTATTCCTGTAACGCTGCGCTCGTTGCTAAACCATTTCTCATTCGAATGCTTATAACTAGATCTAAATGCTGTACCCGCAGCAGATTTCACTTTACTAATTCCAAAAAGTAAATAAAATTTTGGGAGAGAAAATTCATCTAAACTCATTCGTAATATTCGATAAGTATCTTCTGAAAAGGAAGGGGAGCTACAGGTGCATAGTGAATGAATACTATTGATAACCAAACCATGAGTAGAAGCACGCATACTCAGGCTTCCAGAACAAACTAGAAACGTAACTGTATGAAACAAATATGGTAGATGTTTTCCTACATCCAAACAGTTATTAAAAGATAACATTAATAAGTATCTTGCTAGGATAGCGATGTCATCCCATCTTGTATGTTGTTCTAATAATGGCGTCGGAGAAGTACATGTTTTGTCAACAACTCGACAAAGTCTTCCTATTATTTTTTTTGCTACTAATTGAACATTTCCAGAAGCCAATGCTACAGCAGTATCTGCCATTATTTCAACTGTTGGAGAACCAAGTCCAAAACTAACGCTACGTTGAATGAAATTATCCAAGACTGTATCTATTAACTCTGGTAATCTTCCAATTGTGCTCCATATTTTAGCCTGTATACTTGGATACATTTCTACTTCTTCGATAGTTAATGTAATTAATTTTTCTAAAATTTTTGTAACTTGCTTCTGACGTTTTCCTCCTTCGTCATTCGGTTTATAAAATCGTACAAGATTATTTAACCATGGAGTCATATATTCTAAACAAAGATGTTTCAATTCGATGCTTGACAATCTGAAACCTTGTATACATTCTTCTAGAAATTCCAGTGTAAGATGTGGATCATTTGCAGCCAAAGTTTCACTTAAATGTTTAATAAATATAGTATTATTTGATGGTATGCAAAGTCCAGATGTTTCCAAAAGTTGTCCTTCAATTTTTAAATCAAAAGTTGCAGTTAAAGCACACAATTGATTGTATGCTGCTGTTCGTAAATTTGGATCCGAACTACCAAGATTTAATAACGCCATGTTTAATAACGTTCCAGGTACATCTTTAGGTCTTATTTTTGGATGAATAGACACAGATTCCGGTTGTGATAATTCCCATCGATTTCTTATATGAATTATAGCCTGTACAATACTATCACAGTCTTGATGAATAAAAGATAATGGGCCAGTTTCATTTGAAATAGTCAATGTAAATTGATTGTCATCTACTAAACAAACTTCTTCTATTTCAGATGCATAATAAACATCATTTAAAAGAACAGAATGCGATAATACTTTGCACTTCTCCGCCGAGGTAATTTGTATCGCAGTTGGTCCAACTTTTACGGATACCTTAGTGTCTTTATGAGAAAGTTTCAAAACGCTATTAAAAACTTTTAAATCTTCATCAAGAGATAATGTAGCTCCAGGTAATTTTTGTTGATCGACATCGATTACATCATTTAAACGACCCGGTCCATCGATGAAAACTATCTTTCTATTACCTTTTAATGGTGCCAAAATTCTATCATGGAACTTCGTATATTCTCTGACCCAACTATTGCAATTATAAATATATGCAGCATGAATATTTTCATAGGCAACTTTAGGCAATACATAAAACCATTTCTGTAGGAATTCAGTTCTAAATCGATTGTCTGAACATGTGTGAGTAAAATCAACAACCAATTCAAATGGAGAATGGCAGAATGGTTTTAGAGTAAGAATAACATGATATATTAATAGATCACCATTCGTATCACCAATTCTATAAAAAAAATATAAATTACATTAGCACAGTCATAAACATAACAAAATTTTCAACAAATTTTTCTTTATAATATTACTTTAGAGTACAAAATAGTAATAGTAATAATTCTTAAGTCTAATAAAATTAATTACATAACTGAATTAATGCAATCTCAAATGACACATATAGTTTAATAAAATACATACTTGTAACGTCTGGCAATATAATAAAATACTGGATATCCTTGTTTACTAGTTCCTGCTTGATAAAAAATATTCAAATTTTTGATACTCTTAAATTCTTCGTTTTCATGCATATTATGTTTTACCATAATTTCTTCAAAATTAGTTGAAGACATATCAATGTTCGACCATCGAGCGTAAGACGAAGAAAATAATAAACTATAAAAACAAATACACTTAAATATATATATATATATATATATATATATATATATATATATATATATATATATATATATATGGAAGTTGCATGAAGTAGCATTTATAATAATGATTTATACAACAATAAAAATGTATTTAATATTATTACTTACTGAGAATCTATTGGTTTATGTTCTGGAGGACCAAGATAAGCCAATAATGTAGCCATTTTATCAAAAGGTCTTCTACCGACTGCTTTATGGTCCCGACTACTGCTGAGATAATCGCCAATTCGTTCTTGATGATTCCAAAGCAATCTATGTAATGCTAAAACATTGGCATCGGATACAAATGACATCGGATGATTAGCTTGATCAACAGTTTCACAATCTGATGCTATCTGTATAAAAAATCTCCTTCCAATTTCAAAATATGCACGTAAAAAGTCATTAAATGATAACATATGTTGTTCCTTGCTAAATTCTATATGATTTGCAATATTTTGAAGAATTTTAGACATTAACATAAGACCCCTTTTAATGTGTGGAGGTACAGGTTTATTCACAATGCCCATTTCTTGAGGAGATACAATAGCTGGATTAATAAATCGGAGAAATATTACTGTTCCAACAGCACCAATATTATTTTGTGGACACTGTGGAAATCTTTTACTGAGTACTTGATATAAACAATGACACATAGAGCGCAATTGTGGTGGAAATCTGGAAAAAAAAAATAAAATTAATAAAATGTCAAGAGTACGAAAACCACACTGTAAAAGTTATTTAATAAAAAAATTTGTATAAATATTAATTATACTATTTATAATAACTTACCTATCAGCTGATGATACTATAGCATCAAATACTTTTTGAGTTAATGCAATCAAATTACGACCATTTTTTTCTATATCTTCATTAGCATCTATTCTTGCACTATCAACTTCAAAACTAGTGGTAGGATCATCTAACAATGGAGTAATTAAAGGTTCTAATAAATTTTGCAAATAACTTGCACCATAAATTTTAAAGCAAAATGCCATAATTTTGCTTCCAAGACTATTTCCTCGAAATAATGTTTGCATACAATCAGAAACTTCAACCTCACGATAGAACATATTCCATAAAAGAGAAGATAATAAATGTTTTGCATCAAATAATGTCACAAAAACTCGTGCTAATTCGTCCATTTGATTTGTAGTTACTACATTAGCTAAAGCCATTGCAATAGGCAATTCTCCTTTGTCACTAATCATTGTAACCAGTTGGACCAATTGTTCAAACCTATCAGCCAGTACTGTTTCTGCTAATGTATCAAACTCTGTTCCTTGTTGAAGAATTTTGGTAAGAACTTCTATGAATGCTGCTCGTGTTTGTAAATCTGGATTGTAACCTAGGCCTATAAATATGCAAATTTAAAAAATATAAGAAATTAAAGAAATCAAAGAAATTTTATATGAAACTGCATCAATAACATTAATATAAAAAAATTGTAATTTTACTTACTCAGTGAATGCATTAATCCACTATCAATATTTGCACTGAGAAGATTACTCATTGCTTGTATGGTAGCATTGCGTAAAGTAGATAATTTACCACTAGTTAAACGTGGTTGTTGAGACACTATTTCTTTATCTTCGCTAGTTGCATCGTTGCAATCGTTTAATAAATTCATAAAAAGGGTAAAGTACTTTAAGAACAATTGAGATTTTGCTTCCATTAAATCACCACGATCAGATTCTTCGGGTTGAAGAGGCAGACCTCGTAGCAATGCTCCAACTGCTTCCATACAAGCTTGATCTAAGTCTCTAAAACAAAATAAACAAAATGAATATAGTCTCTAAAACAAAATAAACAAAATGAATTTAGAATTTATTATTATAGACAAGTGTATTATATTAAAATTATAATAGCTAATTACTAGCCATATGATAAATTAAATTTTTTAATAAACAAAACTGCACATGAAATAAATTAAATGTACTGAAAATATTCATAGTTAAATCTTTTAGTATTAATTGATAATTAATTACTTGATTATTTCAATACGTTTCAATAATATTTCTTTCTTATGCATTGTCAAATTAAATATTTTATCAAAATTTTTATTGTACAAGTAATAATATAAAGCTAAAATATCTTTGCTGTTAATAATGAGAAAAAAAATTTTGACTAAACTTGGTTGGTGTTAAGAAACACACAATCTGATGTTAATAGTTTTTGGTAGATAAACATAAGTGAAACTTACTTCAGTTTTTAAAATGAAACCATATAATTTTTAATGCATTAACTTGGCATTTTTTACAAAAAATACAAAAGAACATATAATTGTATTCTTGTTCCTCACCTTTCATATAATAGACTTTACAAAATTAAAGTAAATATTTACTAAACTAACTAAAATTTTATTAATCTATTTTTTAAATAGATTAATAAAATTTTTTTATAAAGAATACCGAGATGGACTTATTAATGCATTAAAAATTATGATTTCATTTAAAAAAAAACGAAGTTAATTTTCATATGTCTTTCACATAATTACTCATAAAAAACATCAGGTTATTATTATTATTATTTTTTTTTTTTTTTGTTATTTTCGACCAATAACTAAGATATTCAGATTTTAGGTATGTCAGTCTGTATATAATTAATTATTAAATTACATTAAAAAAAGAAAACATTATTTAATATAAATTTATATAATATAATTTACCGAGTATAAATAGTTAAGTCTCCACTAGTAGATGGAGTAATTTGATGAGTGGCACCCATCACCCAATCAGTTAAATATTCGACAAGTTTATTTCTAAATTTCATTTCCTGTCGAAATGCTAAATCATCTCGTCTTTTCATCATTGCTTCAACCAGTTGGCACAACTTTGTTTTAATAAGAATAGAATGTATAGTCATATCTAAATGTCTAACATATCTAACAATTGCCAACATCATTCCTTCTATACTGGTCATTCCAAGATATTCAGAAGGTTGATCTGTTTTAGAATCCAAAATATTTTTCATTATAAATATTATATGCTCAATGAATTGTGTATTAACTTCCATTACTATAACTTGTCCTTGTTGATTAAAAAATTTTTCAACTATGCTTTTAATTTGATCAAAAAGAATTGGATACAGTGCAGGACTCATTTCATGGCCAACCAATTCTTTAACATGTTTTTGAATTTGATTTCCAAATTTTTCATTATTGCAAATTAATAGACGTAATAAATTATAAACGAATTGTGTACAATATTGTACTTCCTGACTTGAACTTGATAAACAAGATGTGGGTTCTTGTTTTGAACTTTTTTTTAGTTCTGGATTTGGAGGCATTCCTGATAATGATCTATTTGAAGAACGTTTTTGTAAACATACTCCACCCAAAGCACAAAGAAATCCTGTCATATTAGCCCATTCATTAATTTGTTCTTCTAATTCGTGTTCTGAATTTTGATGTGATGCTCTTCGCTTTCCCATACTTCGGTGAAATGATTCTATCTGACTATCTTCTGTTTTAGATTTGGGGTAATTCACTAACTGACGCGAAGTTACTTCCCAATTTCTAAATGTTTCTTCCCAAGCCTACAAAAGAAAAGTATTTTGTGTTCATATTATTTTTTTCCTTATTAAGCAAACAAATGAAATTACTTTGTAAAATTATTTATAATAAATTATTTATATCACTGATATTTTTAATAGTCGGATGGCGGATCAATTGTTTTTGTTATAATGATTTTTATATCTTTATGAACATATAATCGAATTATTGTAAATAACCATATAAATCTATACTTGACATTTATGCTAAATATTTTTAATTTTGTAAAAATCTCCCAAATGTGTATAATTTATTGTAAAAAAAATACACTTTTATATATCTTAATATATCTAACAGATATAATACATCCAAAACTATATTTTATAACATATAAATATGCCGAGTCAACATATGACTTGGTAACATCTGGCTCATTGCTTGAAGTACCGCTGTCTGACTATTAAAATATAATAATATTATAATAAAATATAATAATATTAAAATATAAAATATAATTTATATTTTTTTCTTTAAAAAATAATTCTTAAATTAGAACATTATTATGTTAATATAATATTACATATATATATATATACATATATATCCATTATATATACATATATATATAATGTACATATATATACATACAGACTGTATGCCATTTACACAGTGTTCTATTTTCCTCAATAAGACCATAATTCTTTTTTGTAAAGCAGCACGTCCTAAAAAAAATACAATAGGCTCGTGAAATGTATGAACATTAGTTACAAAACAATTATATAATATACTGCGTATATTAGATAATTCGAATAAAAAAACAACAACAAAATAATCTTAGTTTTATACATATATATAAATTACATTTTGAATAACACTTACCATAATTATAATCGTGATAGCATAGCCTACTTTCCCCGCTGGCTGTTACGGTAACAAGGTCTTTAATACTCTACTGCAGCCATATAAGGGTTATACTAATCAAAATACAAAGTGAATTCAAAAATTCATGAATGAATGTTTGAATTCAAGTAAAATGATCGTAAGTAAATACCCGAACAGAAACTAATTTTTAAAAAATGTTACTTTATGTTAATCTTTTTGGTAAATATGAATACTAGTTATTTTTAATTAATATTTCATAACTTTAGTCAAAATATATTGAAATAAAAATAAATAAAAAATTATAAAGTAATTTTAGAAAGAATAAAAATATTTCTTTTCTTATAGATTATAATAAAACAAAATTGTAATGTCATTTTACAGTTATCTTTCGATTCGAATTTCTACTTTAACTTTAGAAAAAATAGAATATTTTATATAAAGATAGAATATTTTGAACATTCACTCACCAGTGATTAACACAGTAGAAGCTTGTGCTAATTCAAGATATAAATGATAGTTTGGAAGCAAACAAGTTACTGCTACTTCATCACTACCACAACGAATTTCTGCTTCCTCACAAAGTAACGCAAAACAAGACATTGATATTAAGACTGCTTCCATATTTATACTCCATAAATACATAAAAAATACAACCTGACAAATAAAACACAATAAATAAACAAATATGACAATACCATTCAAAGAAACGATTCTATAATATATTATAAATTTAAACAAACCTCAAGTTTAATATGTGCTTGCTTACAAACAGCGATCTGACTACCCACATTAGCATAATCCTTATTTTGTGCCAGAAAAGCATTTCTGCAAATTAGTATTTCTCTGAGCCATTTTAAAATACAAGTATAATTAACAATTTGATGCTGAATCAATTTTTGGGAAATTGAAAACAAAACTTGTGAACTAACATCCCAAAAAGTATTAATTGGTGATTCTGGATTCCATGCTTTTATTTTATCTGGATGATGCAATACCAACAATGCGTCCATTGCTTCATGTGCAATGTCTGACATTGTTGGTTGATGAACTAAAGAAACTAAACCATTAATTAGTTCTAAAGTTGAACTTTGAATTTCATGACCAGCTTTTCCTTGATTCTGTAAAATAAGAAATATAGATCATATAGCGATCATTTTATAAGAAAAAACTGAGATTTTTATATAAAGTACCTACACTTAATAGTAACATAGGATCAGCATGAATAAGTTTCACCATCCATAAAAGTAAATTTCTATAACTTGACACTTCTTCTCCACGTTCTCTGTATTTATTTTGTTCTTTACCTTTAAGTGTTAAGCTTTGAATCATTCGCAACGGTGTATGTGATATGCAACTCTGTGTGACCTTATTTAAAATATCAGTAAACATATTTCTAAGTTCTGCACTACGAGGATACAGAAGATCTATTTGAGGCCACCATGGCAGTCTTGGTTGAGTTACAATTCTAAAATAGAAATTATTAATATTAAATTAATATTATTTTTAAAAAAGATTATAAGATAAAAATTTATTATTTCATACAATGGACTCTCCAATTCTAAACACAATTTATTCCAGAAAACGATTCAACTTCCAAGTTAAATTTCCGTATAAAAATAATATAAATTGAATTAATCCGTTCCAGAGTCGCACAATTAACCCAACATAAAAGATTTTATATTTTATTTATATATTATAAAACTTAAGCTTTATGTAAATAAAGATTATATTTTAGATAAAGGGTTTGATACATCTGGCAGAATATTTTAACAAGGCTTCATATATTAGTAGATAATGATACAAAGAGAAAAACAGTTTTCACACTGATTTTAAACCCCAGCAACAACTGATAATAAATAGTATTTTACTCGTTGAATTCAACTCTGTCAAATGATTCTTTGTTCGATTTTTCAATCTCGGATTTCCTTGAATTTTTCGAGTTTTAAATTGTTCAAACTATTCGAAGATCGAAAGTCCACTATATTTAAATTTTAAACTCATTTTCTTGAGTTTTATATTTTAACATGTAATGTATATCTTTATTTTATATTCTTTTTAATTATAATAAAAATTTCTTTTCTTACTTGTATAATGAGCTAACCAAGACAAATTGGTATGTCGATGGATAATTCAGATTCAAGCAGACTTTAAGTACTTCGTTGTTATGAGGTTTAATGCGAAAGAAGCTAACAAAACAGTCTATCATTAGATCGATGTCTTGGGCAACATAGCTTTGACCACGAGAAAATACTTTCCCTGGATTAAAAAGTAGTACCATCAAATCATTCATAACATGTCGAACAAGTACGAAGATAACATTATTCGAATCTGAATTGTTAATATAAGTTGATGCTTTACAAAGTTTGATACAAGTAACTGCTGCAGCTTCCACTAAATGCCTACTAGAACTACCGTGCATTCCTAGGCCTCTTTTAATACTGTCAATAAATTGCTTTTTTTTTGAATGTCTTGGTGAACAAAGAGTACTAAAATCAGCATTAACTATTTCCTCCAAAACTTTTGGTGAAAGTATTAGAAGCATAATTTGTAAAGGCCAGACAGCAGCAGCCCTTCCTTTTTTATTGTCTGCAAATGTATCAAGGACATCAAATAGTTCTTCACAAGCTTTTCCTAAATCTTCATTAACTTTTTTTTGAAGATCAGCAAATTCGTAAGAATAAGTATCCATCCAATTCCAAATTGCTTTCTCCAAAGAGTTCATAAGAACTATATGAGCTGATTTTTTAAGTTGTTTGAATTTTTGTATCGCTTCTGCAACATAACAACAGATTTTATATACATCAATAAAAGAATTATAGTTACATATCTTGCGTAAAAAAAATAGTCTATATAATCCAATAAAACATACAAAAATGCGCGCGCACGAAGTGTACATGCAATAAATATTATATTGATATTTGAATAATGAATGTGATAAATTACCATTTAAAAGTTTCGTTAGCCTATGTACATCCACATTAATATGCTGAATTAATTCAATATCACTATAATCAGCATTTTCATCTCCACATTTTGCTAGTTCTTGAAGTCTGGATGATATTCGATTAAATACAGCATTAAAGAAATTCAAACTTAATGCAAACAAAACTTTGCTTGCCAAATTTTTTAAGTGAGCATTTTGTGGACTATCATTTGGTATATCTAGAAATAATATTATTATTTATTAAATCTCTTTATGGTTTTAAATATAATGTAAACTTTTAAATATAAACAATATTTAAATAATACAGACATATAAACATTTAAGAAATATAATTACCTATAAACTGACATATCTCTTTAAGCAAAAATTTTACATTCATAGCCTCATCGAATTTAGCTGTATCTTTTGGTTGATTTGCAAGACACTTTTCCAAAGTGTCTAAAATAATGGTAATAGATTCATAACAATGCCGATCTTGATCTGTACTATGAAATATACGTTGCCCACCAATACATGGCACCATTTCATTAACGTTTTGAAGTATTTTAGTAAGACTGGATATTACAAGAGAGAAACGATATCGAGAAATTTGTATTAGGCATTTTTTGTTTCTCTCTTCATTCATACGAGAATGAGTAGTTTGAGGGCCGCTGTGACACGGCAACTACACCACAAAAAAATTAAGTATTAAATTTTAAATATATAATACCATAATGTGTTATTATGAATTGTTTGCAGTAATATTGTTTATATATTTTTATTAATTAATATGATGGATTTATAATGAATGAAATTATTGCATTACTTCCTATTCATTAATCTAATTAATATTATGTATATAATGTATAATAAGGTGCAATATTTCTGAGTTTTAAATATAGAATTTTATGTATATCATAAATATATTAATAGCTCTCTTTCCTCTCTTTTCTTACTTTTATATATGGTTTATTTTTATTTAATAACTTAAAAATTTATCATCATATATCAAAATGTTAAATATGTTTAAGAAATATTTATAACAGGAATAATTTTTTAAATTATTATTCTAAAAAATTGTTAGCAATGAATGATAAATAATTAATAGTGATAAAACTAAAATAATTAATAGTAATAAAACCAATAATTAAACAAATAATTAATAGTAATAAAACCAAATATTTATTTCAGAACATTTATTTAGATTTTTATATGTACTTTTATCAACTAATCGAAGACGTTATTGCAATATCTTTAACGTCTTAAAAATTTAAAATTTACATGTAAACAACATTTAATTGCATTTACAATAGTAAAAGTACCTAAATGCTTATATTTAACTTTTAACAAATAAAATATAAATTACATAAATATTATAACTTTTAATTTAATATCGAATTATATCATATCAATAAAATCAAACTTAATGATAGTATTAAAAAATAATCCAACAATTTTTATTATTTTCACAATCCGCACGATATGATAGTAGTATAAAAGCTATGAATATCAAAATGGCAAAAGTTAAAATGGAAATAAATATTAAAGATTTTGAGAAAAAAGAAAATTTTATAAAATTATAACTAGTACCTTTGGAAGAAGTAAATCTAAAATTCATTGTATTGAAAAAAACTGGAAATTGCAAGAACTCTTACAAACAAAATTCAAGGAAGGATATTGGCTTGTTGAAAACAAAATATAAATATTTACAAAATGAAAAAATATTTAGATAGTTTACAAAAGTCATGGAAACTTACTAATATATTTGGGAAAGTTATTCATCCAAATTTTTATTGATGATGTTTATATATATTTTATATATATTTTTCTCGATAATGATCTTAATGACAAAATGATTTTTATAGTAGAATTAGTAAAATATTACAAATATTACAAGTGATTAAATTTTACAAAAAAATACATATATATATGGTTTTTGTTCAAATATGTAATTCATATAGGAAAAGTACTAAAAATACAAAACTTACATGACCAATAAAGCACAGAAATAGTTCTGTCATGAAAGTAGACTGTCAGAGTTGTAAACGGTAATTTAGAATGATGCTAATAGTAATTTAAAATTTATCGATAAATTTTAAACAAATATAAATATTATAAGAAAATTTTGAATAAAATGTTGAAAAAAATTAATCATATTTTTTTGTTATCACATTTTCATTTTTTATCACAAGATATTAATCTCTGATTCAGGAGAATACTATTTAAATTGTAAATTTATCGTATAATCATTGTCAATCAATAAAAAATTAAATAATTGTAAAATAAACAAAAAAGAATTATTTAAAAAAGAAATTTTATTAATGCAAATATTACAATAAATTTATTAATTTAATTTTGATTAATAATACAAAATATTGATTTTAGATAGTATTATTACTACCAAAGACAATTTAAATATTATTAATATATAATATAACAAGTAATAAAATAAAGATCTGTAGATCATCATCACAGTTTGTACTTATAATAAATGTAATATAAGCTCTATATGTTTTGAATCATTTCCTAATTTTATTAATATAATTCTAAGACTATTTCTTTCACATACAGATTTACATATATATATGTAAATATTTTAAACACTTTTGTTTAACATAAATGTCACTTGTTAAAAGTTACAAATATAAATATTCGAGCATGAAAGTATAACCATAAATTCAAATTCTTCGATAAGCTGTGCGCAAAATAAATGCAATTTTCATTCATGTATCCGTGATACGATGGAAACGACGTTGTGTAGGTATAGAGGGGTTACGGAGAATGGAACTCTATAGGGTATGCCAATAATTCATCTCTAAATCTTTTTATACGAAGTATTTAATTTTACTACACAAAAAATTATATGTGTCATCTTTAACATTGTCATAAATATTAGAATTACTCATGCAATGTTATATATAAAATTATTTCATATTTATAAGATATAATTTTTTGGTCGTTTCAAAATAATTAACAAACATTACAAGAAAGAAATAAAATTAGTCTTATTTTGAAAGCATATTTTAGTTTTTGAATTTCAAATGATACATTTTTACTTAAAATAAAAAATCAATTGTTTCAAAATTTCAAGTTAATATACACTATAGTTTTGCAATTTATTTATTTCAATAAAAATAATACTCAACAAATTATTGAAATAGTACAATTTTGGAACACCCTATGTGTATCTTAACTGAATAGCCGTGGGGTAGAGAGGAAAGGGAAAAGGGGCGAAGGTCAAACCGTGGACTTCACGACGTGTAGAGGGAGGAGACCGCGAGAAAGCATCTTCCTATGAATGAACGAATCAACGAATAAATGAATGACGATACATTCGGAAATATAACGATACTAATCATTATTATTTTAATAATAGGAACAATGACAATTGAAATTTCTATAATTCCTAACTATTTACTTTATTTGACGTCAAATAAATGAAATTGTTTTGGGGTCATTGCGTCATTTAAAATTTATTTTACATTTGAAGCAAATTCTAAAATGTGAGAAGTAACATACAATCACTGCATTTGTACAATAAACATTATCATTAAATAATATTTACGTATTGCGTACAAAATTCTCTTTCCCCATATAATAGACGAGAAAGAATTAAGCAAAGCAAAAGAAATACAAAAACGTAAAAAGAAAAAATACAAGATACAATACGTAGAAAATGTAAATTAAATTCTACTTAAACGACTATTGTTATGACCATAATCCATAGAAACATTTAATTATTTCATATTATGCCTTGTCACACAAGATATAAAAAGAATTGAATTTTTGCACTTAAATAATATTAAATAAATGATAATTAGAAAGTTCAAAATTTAATTAATTAACAAGAATTAATTGACATCAAAGTTGCAATTTTAATTATATCACTTTTACTTATATCACTCTATGTTTTATCTTTTTATTACTGAATATTCATTTGCTAATGAAAATTATGTTCCTTGCATTTATTCCACAGCTATAGAAATTATGTTAAAATCATATATTACATACATTTAGCCAAATTTTTACGAGCAATTAAACTATTGCCGATTTTTTTGAGTGTTTATAAAATAATTTTATTTATTCGTAAAATAATGTTATCTGTTTCTTTAATACGACTCATGAAAATGAAAAACAATAAAATCACTAATTTTCTCTAAAGTAATAATCTTCTAATAAAGAGAGATATAATAGAAAAAAGAAGCTAAGAATAAGAAAAGAATAATATAGGAAGAGATTAAGAACATATAGCAAAAAGTAAATAGAGGAAAAGAGAGAGAAAGAATATGAAAAAGCACCGGAAAAGGATAGGTAAGAAAGAGAGGGGCGGTCACGAAGAGGGAAGACGAATAGGCAAGAAAGAAAAGCTAAACAGATTTGTATTTCAAGTCACAGCTGGAATGTACCTGTTCCTCGAAACGTGTGATCAGCAAATTCGCCCATTCTTCCGGCTTTTGCGTGCCCATCGCCGTCCGAGGTTCAGTGACGAGCCGTCATCACGTACGACGATTTACCAGTTCGCTACGTACATTCGACATCGATACGTCGCCATTTACGAACGTCGACTGGCAGCCGAGAGAGCACTGCAGCTGCTTGCTCTTTCTCTCCCATTGGGGAGGGGCGCCGTGGGTTGTGATAGAGCCACAAGAATTACAGTGGGGTCTGGGACGAAGATCCTCACAGATGGAACCGATGCCAACCGAAGCCATCCGACGTTTACTTCTAACTGACCAATCAAATCACGATATTTAGGGATGCATGAAAAGATTCACTTTTATTATATATATAAAACTATATATATATATATTTCGAATTTCAAAATTATTAATTGTAGATAAGGATAATCGTTTTAGTAAAAAAATGTTTGTAACATTTCAAATTATACAAATTAGAAACTTATAAATTTATTTTTTAATGAATTAATCTTTATTTATTATTAAATAATAAATACATTTATTATTAAATAATAAATACATTTATCATAAATTTATTAAATAATAAATTTATTTATAAAAGTTTTATTTTATGTACAAACTATTTTATATATTTTCTAAACATATTTTATAAAATATAACTTTTGTTAATTCTTATTTATTTATTTATTGAATAAATTATTTATTGAATAAATTATTTATTGAGTAAATTTTTATTTTAATTATTAACGCAACTAGTTTATTATAATATAAATTTATAATTTATAATTATATATTACTCATATATTATTGTTACAAAGGAATTATATTATAAATAGAATTTTTAATTTTTTTAAATCTCTTTAATACACTTTAATACACTTCTGAACTGTTGGTATAGCAATTTCAATTACATAGTCCATATCATTCATGATGCTATTGCATACAAGACAATTAATTTCTCAAAGATTTAATCAAATTTTTCATAATATATTTATTATATGTTTGTTAAAATAATTGATGAATGAAAAATAAGATAATTTTTGTTTTATTAATGTGTTAAAAAGATATGACTAATTAGAATGTGAAAATTTAACTATAATTTTAATTGCATTTGTCATTTTTTCTTCAAATATATTTAATACAATTTAATTACAATGATTTAGTTCTATTCTGTAAATATGTAATGTAAATTTTTGTTATACTTCATCGAACCGCTTTTATTTTTCTGAAAAATTTAATTTACTTTTTACTAAAAACTTCATACATATATTTTCCTTTTAATTGGAGGACTCTGATAAAATTGAATTGAATTGAATTAAAAATGGCCTAATAGTCAAGGTATGATAAAGTATTAATAAAAATATTTTATTATTATTTTAATACATTTATACATTTGTGTTGCTAATAACAGAGAAATTCTTTTCATCATTTTATACAGCAATAATATTTATATTAAATAGCTTTATATTTTATAAATGTAAGTAAGATACATTTGACTTGCTTTAAATTAAAACATTTATTAATTTGTCATACATTGATATACATCTTAACAGCAATTGATACTTGCAAATAGTTTAAAATGAGTCAAATAAAATTATTCTAACTTTTGATTTAATACTTGTAGATAAATTTAATAGCACATAATGTAAATCATTTTCATTTATTAAATTTCTACATAGTAACATTTAAGTTAATAAATTAAGTTAATAAATTAAGTTGATAATTTAGGTTAACATGATATATAATTCAATGTGATATCTATGCATTTACATGTTAGTAATTCATAAACGATTATAAATATTTGTTTTCACTTCATTTTGTTAGGTATTAATTTAAAATGCTATATAACTAAGATCAGAAATATATATTGAAATTTAATTTTAATATATGAAAATTATTATATTATAAAATTTTCTATAATTTGTATAAATAAAACGAATAAATTTAAAAATATATAATTACACTCTTGGTCTTTATGTTCCTTATCTCATATCTTATATAAGAATTTTATAATAAAATAATTTGACTAAATATATGTACAAATATTAATATTTGAAATTTAGGACAAATTTACTTAGATCGCCTGTTGATTATTATGTTGATATGGAATGATATATTATGATATTTAAGTTTGATATTTGATAATAGTTTAAGAAAAAAATGTTTTGTACAGAAGTTTATTAATATTAAATAAGTAATTTCAAAATTATTATTTTTCCATTAAAAATCATTTTATAGTTTTTAAATAATATCACATATTTTTTTACAATATTCTTGAATTACAAAAGTTTAATGATGTACTATATGCATACAATCACATAAATATTCAAATAGCGAAGTAGTTGCGAAATTATCACTTGGTATATTTATTTATTATGTGTTTGCCGAATTTATTGTTGTATGATAGATTAAAGTACTTATTCTAAGTATACATACATATAAAAATACAAACTTTAATTTTTACTGTTTTGTACATAATTAGTACATAATTAGTTTTGTACATAAAGTATATAATCAAGATTAAATATGATTTCAATAACTCAAAAAATATTCGGATTTAATAATACATAACTATTTTGTAGTTATTATTAGTGTAAATTATAACAATTTTTAATATTTTATTGGAAATCCTTGTCAGATAAGCTTTTTCAAACGTGTAGGCATGTTAGAAATTATTTCAAGTAAATAACTTTGGTATATATTTCTCCACCCTCTTATTAAGCGAGTTTTCAATTCTTCTTTTGTTTTTTTAATATTGCGATCCAATGAATCCCTTTCTTAATGACATTCTTAATGGGACTTAAATTCGGAGATTGTGGAAGAGGACTTTATGGCAATTATATAATAAATATTCTTGAACAATTCGAAATTTCGGATCTTTATCTTGATAAAATTTATAAATATCACTTATGCCCATTTTCACTGCATTTTCAAAATGTTTAAATACTTGTTTCTGTCTAAGATTCCATCAATAAAAATTAATTCTTCTACTCTAGTAGTAGAGATACTCTACACCATCAACACCCCATATTGTAGGTTTCTTTTAAATTGTTTATTTGGTTTTCGCCATATTATTTTCTGTTTATTACATCCAGAAATCTCAAACTTGTTTTCGTCGGCAAAAATCACATTTTTCCACCACATTTTTTTTTTAAACAAATTTTTTCGTAAATGTTAATCGTTTCTTCCGATTAATTTCATTTATGAAAAGCATCTTTCGACCTATTCTCTCATGATAACGATCTTCATATAACATATGACGAACTGTATTAACATAACTATTTTTTCCAGTTTCTTCACATAATTCTCTAGTTAGTATTGGAGTACTTATCTCGGAATTATCCTTTTCATATAATTTTACAATTCGTAAGTGATTTTGGTCGTCCCGTTTGCGGGATTGTTTCAATCCTATTTTCTTCATTGTATCGTTCTATTATATCTGCGACGGTATTCTTATTTATATTTAATAAATCACCAATTTCTTAATACATTTTTCCTTTTTCTCTGTGATAAATAACCAGTTGAACGTGAAACGAAATATTTTTGTCTTTTTAAGCTATTTTCGTAATAAATTAGGCATGCTTTTACAAACTGCTTTTACAAACAATTACTCTACCTTACTTTCTATTTTTATTACTTTATGCGTATAAACATTTAAGTTTGACCACTTCACTGACCTTACAAACTTTTTCGATTATTTCGACTGTAAAGTTAAATATAATGTTCGAATATTTTTGAAATATTGTGTTTAATTTTGATTATAACTTATTCTGTACAAAACAATAAATAATAAAGTATGTTTTTGTATGTATTAAAATAAATGCTTCAATTCATTATAAATTCATATCAACAATAAATTAACACGTAATAAATAAATACGAAGTGATAATTTCGCAATTACTTCGATGTCCGAATATTTACGAGAGTAATTGTATTTCACTTTAATTATCTAATACTACAATAACGAATATTTCTGAATTCTAATCTACAACTTTATTTTTCACTTTATCGTTAATTTCTTACATTTATTTGTTTAGATTTATTGATAATAAAATTGTAATGCTACTTTATGAATAATTAAAATTATACATGTATTACATCACTGAATTTATTTTCAAATGTATAAAAATATAATAAAAAAATAAATAGTGTTATTTAAAAAATCTAAAATGATTATTGAAACTCTTTTCTTATTAAAAAAAATAATGCTTTTGAATGTCTTTCTCATGATGATCTTTTATTTAAAAAATGATGCTTTTGAATATCTGAATAAATTCTTCATTTGATCAACAGAATTCTAGAATATTTGCTAAATTGCACAGAAGTTATCACGACGATATACCTAATTGTAACGATATACTTAATTGTAAGAATACTGAATAGCAGACACGAATCAAACAATGAATTGAAATCACTATCGAGAGGGTTTATTATTTACAGTTATTATTTATGTACGTTTGCAAACCATACAACTTTGTCCACTGCCATTTTTTTCTCTTGTTTACCATTTCTGAAAAAAATGCTGGATAAAAATAATGCGAACACTCTGTGTATTTTCCATACGAAGAGATATGTACGTATATTTGAACTATATAATTTCTATACTTTTAGAAGATATGAAATATAGGAACATTATAGAACAAAGTCTTGATTGAAAATTATTATTACGGTAATCATTTTTCAAATGAATTTTGATTTTTAATTATAAATTCTTGTTCTAGAAGAGATATTACTGAATTTAAAACATCAATATCTCGTTGGCGATGTTTTTCAATGCAATGTAAGCTTTTTGGATCTATATCAGAAATTCTGATATTGTAAACAAAGCTAAGTCCATCCGGAAGTTGTACTATATTATCATCGATGGTAGATGATATGGTATTCCTATATTATAAAAAAAGAAAAATATTAGTATATAAATTTTTAGAAATTTGATTGGTTACATAATTTTTTAAAATTTTAGAAAATAAAATATTTTTGAAACTTACGGATTTATTTCTCGAAATGACATCAATATCGAACAATCTCTAGCACATGAAAATAAGAGGTAATTTTGCAAGCATAATATACTTTCAGTATTTACATAAAAATATGTTTCTCTTTCATTATAATGTACTTTATCTTCGTTGTTTATTACATTATTGTAGCGAAAATTATTTTTTTCAATTGGAATTAAAATTGATTTCGATATAAGAAAATTTTCGTTAGGTTCATTAATATGTTTGTTGCCAATAGAATCGTCATTAACGTTTGATTTGTTAGAAGTTGTAGTATTTTTGGCACATGTTTGTATATGAATTTGTTTTAATGTTAGAGGGCTTCCCACTTGATTTAATGATTTCTGAAAAATAAAAAAGTCGTTAAAATATTTCAGTATAAAAATGCATTTTACCAAATATATACAGAGTGAATTTAACTGGAAACTCAAACTATAACTATTTCCAATAAAGGCAGAAAAAAATTGTAGAAGAAAATTTTGCATTGTTTAAGAAGCTTAAAAAAAATTTTCAACTGAAAGTGCAATTGCATTTGCTTTTTAAATGAAACTTTACAGCTTTTCTTCTATGAATTGATTCATTGTGACACTCTAAATAAAGAAATGTTATTACACAATATTGAAAACATTAATATTACTCGAAGTATTTCGAATTTAAAACACAAGCGCAATTGCATTAATGCATTTTTATAAAAAATCATTTTATATGATAATAAACAATGCAAAATTTTTCTCTATAATTTTTTTTTACATCTTCAATATAGAATACTGTTATTGTTCGACTTAATTATTTATTATATTCATCCTGTACACATATTCAGTTACATATAACGATAAATAATTCTTTTTTGCAATTTATAATAAAACTTTAATTATTTCATGAAAATAAAATTATTACATATGAAAATAATTACTTACATTTTGTTTGAGATAAGATATTCGATATTCATTAAATTTGATCGTATTTATTAAATTAGAATAGATAATATCGTCAGTTAACCATGAATGAAACTTTAAATATGTATTATAAACGTATTCTGAACTAACGAAAGGTAACCTTTGCATATTAAGTATTCGTTCTAGTACCGAATTATTTGGTAATGTTTCCGCTTTCAAGTTACACATCTGTAAAAAGAATAAATTAAGGTTATTTAAACTTTGTTAAACTTTGACAAATATGTATTTAAGTAATTAGCATGCACTAATTTCATAATTATCAAATCATAATTCATAATGTGAAATATTTTGAAATAACTATTAATCATTTTTCTATTAAAAATTATAGATTAAATTTAATTTATAAATTAAATTTAAATTTAAAATTAAATGTTAAGAATTTAAAATTAATATTTACCTCTCCAGCAAAATATAATAATTTCTTAGCTTTTGCTATTAGATCTGGATTAATGTATGTGGTCGTCTTCGTATCTTGTTCAACGATAGATGTGCACAATTCATATGTAGGAAATGTACAAAACTTAAATTCTTCGGAAATAAATGGACGTAAAAGAACAGTACAAATTAAATTACAGAATTTATCAATGTATCCTTTATTCGCAGAATTAATAGAATTGCAAAACCATTCTGTTAAGACACATTCAAGATCGCTTGAATTTGATTCTTGGTCATAAATTATAACACCATCTTTAAAAATCTTGAGATTATTCTGTGGTGATTTTAGCAATCCTTTCAATGCTGATTTCATACGTGTTTCCACTCCCGAAAAGAGATCAAACGGACAATAACTGCTACGGCATGTAATCATCTTCTTCTTTAACTAAAATTGTAAAAAGTCATTAACGTTATCCTTATTTTTATAAATTATATTACATTTACTTTTCTTATTTTTAATAAAAATAATAATATCATATATCATTCATTTATTGTAACAATAATTTGCTCTTTGATTTCAAAATTGATTTATTAGTATATAAAAAAGTTGCTGTGTAAACAATAATTGTTAAAACATTTAAATTCGTTTTTCCTTTTATTTTTGAGTTATGCTATTAATATAATAAATACAGGATATAATAATTTAATGTTAGAAAAATATATATATATATATATATATATTTAAAAAAATTTTATTAAAATATCTATTAAAATATAATTATAATTTAATAATTAAAATAATTATTAAAATATACAAAATTTTTTTTTATGAAATTAATTTGAAGTTTAAAATATAATTTCCATACAGAAATCAATTAAAAATTCTCAAAGTACATGTTTTTAATATTTTGTTTAGTATTATATAATAATTGAATTTTAACTTATATTTAATCAAAAAAATAACAATTGTCAAGTGTACAATTAAGATAATAATTTTAACAATTATTTTATGTGAGAATAATATTATTATGCCTATAATAAGTTTTATGCTTTTTTCTTTGAATAAAAAAGTATTTATTATTTTTAATACTTAAAAGTGCTTTATTTTTAATATTTAAAGTGCATAAAATATTTTAAAGAAAAATCATTGTTTCCGAAAATATTCTGTTTTCAAAAAATAATATTTCCTGTTTGCTTGGCAAACGATATCAGACAGATTAATTTTCCAGCGAGAGGAATATCTATTGTACAATTTTTTTTATTGTAGATGTTTGTATTGGTATAAATGGGATATTTTTCTTTCTTACAATTAGTACACATATTGATAGAATATAATGTTTTATTCGAATGATTTGTGTCACTTTTGTACTACATCGTATATATTATGATTTTCTCTAATAATCTGTGATATTTATAAGATGACAAATGATATTTGTAGATCTCTCCTTCTTTTATGTACCTACCAGTATGCATTGTCAACAATTCTTAGAAAGAGCGTTTTGTAATACTTCAAACTACAGATATGTATATAACTTATTGTTATTAACTATTCCTTACAATTGTATCTCATATGTTCAGATGGGTTTCAATACAGTTTTACAGAATAGAGGTAGGTTAATTTGAATTTACGTCAATATTTGTTTCTGTTGTAATTGTATTCTAGTTTTTATTTTTATATGGTATTTTCAATTAAATTTGGAGTCTAAGTAATAGATTATATATCTATAATAATAAATCAAAATGGCGAATGTTTGTAGTTTCAAGTATTATTTAGAAAAATTGTTGGTACATTTATTTCTTATTTAGTGCAAATGTTACATGTTGAGACTTCATTTACTTTAATTTTTTTTTTAAATTTAATGGCTTGCAGAGTCTGTGTTTTTAGATAGTATTACAGTATTATCGACAAGATTTAACATTTGAATTAATATTGTTGAAACTTACACAGAATATTCTGTTCAATAGATAATTGTAGTAGATAGTATATAAATTATAATTCTTTATGTTATATTCTGTCACTTCAATATTTAAAAATAGTGCAGTACAGTATCATTTAGTCTCTAACTTCTGTAATATGTTATTTATCATTATATATCTGTTGTATTGTTTAGAAAACCAAACTGGTATTCAGGGATTAGTTATTCTTTCGTTATAACGCTTATATAGCTTCATACGATTAAATAGTAATATCTCAAATATTTTTGATAATAGATATACGAAAAATAAATAGATAATAATAATGAGAAGTAGGCCTGTATAATGCCATTTCACACAAACTTTTGCCTCGTACGACTCCTACATTAAATAATAGAGAAGTAATTGAGTCTTACTGATGCATTGTAGAATATAGTTAGAAGTCGTATTATGTCTTTTTTAGTATCTGTTCTATAATTAGATCCTAGATTAAATCCTGGTCTTTTGTTTAGCAATATTTAAGTTTACCAATGATCCTACTTATTTCACTGATGACGCAAGAGCAACTTGTATGTGTTTTTATTCTGAATACCAGCAATTGTACGTTATATAGTGCAAAAATATCGCTTAAGATAGCAAACTTTTTAATTTTTTCTTCATCTGTTCTTATCCACATTTCATTTGATATTTTTAGCGAATGTATTAAAATTGCTGATTTATTGCATTTTTTTGCTATTTTCTATGGGTAATAGTTTATATTTTTATTCATTCGAATAGTTTGTATTTACCACTTACAATTAGTTATAAATGTGCTTGAATTTCTCAATTTTTCATATCTTCTTGGTTATACATTTCCTTTTTCATGTAGTTTTGAATTGTACCTCTGCTAAAAAAATTTTGCAATTATTTTCTTTTTTATTAATTCAAAAATGTTTGTAAGTATTGTAATATTTTCAATTATTTTTTTCTTAAATATTTTATTTGTCCACACCACTGCTCAAATTATGCTTCTTCTAATTGGTAAAGAGTTTTAGTGATACATTACAATGTAATTTTTTGTTAATGTATTTTTTGAATTTGGTGAGATGTAAAATCTGTTCGTAGAAAATTATTTGTTTGTATATGTTAAAACATAGTAGAGGATAATCAGAGCTGGACTCTGTTTATATGTATATATACAGGGTGATCCATTTAATAAAGCTACCTAAATATCTTTTCAAATTTTGACAATGCAAAATATATTTTTTTCCTAATATGAATGGTATCAAAAGGCCAATAACTGGTAAGAATATTTCTTTTCAAGGTCATTTTTTCAATCAAGTCATTGATTTTTTTTATATAACTATATATTTTTTGATTGTATCGTGTATCTAGTAAAAAAAAAATATGTTCAGATGTGTAAATAACATGATCTTGAAAATTTAAAAATTAATTCGAAAAATAATTTCGAAAAAAAAATTCTTACCAATTACTTCGACTTTTCGATACTGTTCACATTAGGAAAAATGTATTTTTTGCATTATCAAAATTCGAAAAGATATTTAAGTGGTCTCATCATCCTGTATATATAGAATAGGATATATCTTTTTAATAATGATATCTTTAAAGATATCATAATTAAATATATTAAGTAGTTCGATATGGTTGATGTGTTGATTCATTACTAATTTTTGTAGATTTAAATTTGTAATGTTAAGATCTCACTTGTACGTTAATTTTAGTTACTTAACAGGCTATTTAGTTACATTAACAGGCTGCTTAGGATTAAAGTCATTAGCTATTATAAATATTATAAATATTTGCAAACATTTAAACAATGTTTTCGAAGTATCTGGAAAAATATTAAATCTAAATGATATGTATATATATTGAGTAAATTTGCATTTAATCCCTACTAAGACGATTGATTATAGGATTTCTTTTTAGTGGTATTGTGATATATATTCCGTTTTATATTATCGTAGCTGTTCTACCATGTTTTCCCTTATGGTTGATTTATTTAATAATATGGTATTTCTATATCATTTTTATTAGTAAGATGAATTTTATTCTATTATTTTTATTTTTATTTTTGAGAGTACCTTGATTAATTTGAATATTTATCTATTTGTGTCATTCTTATTATATCTTACTTATTCATTTTATATTATGATAATGTATGATATTATTAATTTGTATATTTATATCGAATATATTTGGTTTGTACCTGAAGACAGAATATTGTTAGAGTTTCTAATTTATATACAAATGTTTGTTTAACTTTAACTTACTTTTATTCGATTACTATTTAAATGTTCGTAATGTATAATTATTTTTCTTACTCCAATAACTGTTTTCTGCTGCATTTGAGGCTGTAGTTTATAGAAGTTCTTTCCTAATCTGCTATTTTTTGTAACTAAATGGTTATCTCCACAGTTTTTATAATTTTTTGTTAATTGGAACTTTTCAATAACTAAAACCAAAATGAATGAATAAGCAATTCATAATTTTTATTGTATATTTTATAGATATAAAACAATCTATTTTTAGAGATTTAAATGATTTTTTGTAAAATGTATAAATAAGAGCTTGTGTATTCTATTGTATTACAAAGTTTTCTATTTTTTTATTTTAATGTCTGTGACAGAAATTTTATGTTTTAATCGTTAGTATTTTTAATATTAAATTTCAAATAACCTGGCACACTTAATACAATAACTTAAACTGGTTCCTGATTACGCCAGTTATGCGTATGTTCATGTCTTTCATATCTAGGGTATTAAAATATCTTCTTAGTCTCGGAGATTTTGTATTTATTTGTATTCCAATTTTTTAATTTTGAATATTTCATGAGTTTTGCTTTTTGATTCATATTCTAAAGTGAATAAAGGATTTTTTATTATTTTGTGCACTATATTAATTATGGATTTTACCGAGGCACTTGGAGAATTAATTTCTGCTGTTTCTTTTTATTACTACATCTATTGTTGAATATAGTCTTCTTACTATAATTTTAGTATAAAATATAAAAGTAGTGTAAGTATAAAATATTGTGTTTTTTTTTAATAACTAATGTGATTACTTTGTAATTGTCTGGAATTATGTGAACCTTTATTTAATTCATTTTATAGTACAAATATTTATACTAATTATTGAATCGAACAGTAGTTTGATAATTTTATTTAATTGAATGAGATTGAATTTGAAGTTTTATTTGGGATTTCATGATTTTGAACAGTAAAAAATATGAGTTGTTAGTTAAAAAAAGGTCAGATAGTCATTTAACAGTGTTATTGATATTGTAACTGCGTGTTATTGGTATTATGACTTTTATCAGTTTCCTTTTTTTTAACTATCTTTTTGAATTCGCCATGATCCATTGGTCAATTCTTCTATGAATACATTTTTCATGTTGGTATCGTAAATCATAATACAATTCACACTGGCTGTTTTAACTGATTAACAGCTTTACTATTTACATTACAAATTATTAATGCACGATATTCTCACAAGTAACATGATAGGAATACGAGGTTATTAGTAACGAATTCA